CAGTTGATTTGGTGCTAACAGCTGCTGCTGCAGAGGAGACAAATAAGAAGATGGTCCCTGCTGGAAATCGGAGTGACTCGATCGTCTACAACGGATACTGGATGTTGTTCGGAAACACTGCTATACGGAAACGGCTGACTGTTGATCAGGAATGACGGATTCAAAAGCATCATCGTACAACTGCAATTGCTGAAGATCAAAATCCTGGACCAGAATTTTCAATCGTACTGGTTCCACTACTGCTGCAGGTTCATCATTACTGGGACGGATCTTCGACTGATTAATGTGGATGTGGTGAAAACTCAGAATCCAGCTTCAATGTACTGGTTCTGCTGCTGACTGGCAAGCTGGTACGTGGGACCTAGAAGATCCAAAGCAGCCTCATGGAACGTCTTCCTGTCGGATGATTCTCCACCTAGAACGGCGGAAAGGGTTGATTTATAACGTTCGAAGTGCTGTTAAAAAAAACTAAACTGCTCCACTGTCAGTCTTGGATGCGGCACCAGCTACGATTATCTCGTACTCCAGATTTTACTGGGTGAGAAGCAGATTTGCTGGCAGGACACGCTTGATATCCGAAGACGAATGCTACCATTCCTGGTTCCAGATGAACGTTCTTCTTCAACTGGTGCATCTCAAAATGCCGCATTGAGACCGGTTCCGTAATCGGCGCTAACGCCCACCTTGCCCTTAGGCTTCATGAGCATAACGATAGGTGGATATGAGGTCCAAACGCTGAAGTCTGTCCAATTCCTCTTCGATTTTTTGAGTGACATGGACTCGTCACTTCGGATGGAACTCTGACTGCGAATCTGGTTTCAAGTTCAGACTGATTTTTGGTTTTTTGACGTAGGACTCGGTCACATTACGAAATCGAAAATGTTTCTCAAAAGCATTCCTAGTAGGAAATACAAAACTGTTACACAGTTTTCAAAATCTGATCCACGAAATCCACGATTTCTCAAAATAAATCCGCGACATCAAATATTAATCCGCGACAACTAAAACTGTTTTATTGATTAATGTTCGATCCCAGCAATCATTGGACACGCAATCCAACCAGTGTAACCTTTGAATTAGACTTCCAATAAAGATAGACTTGTTACAACCACTCAAGATCATTTTATTCCGGAAGTACCGGACATAACAATTGGCGAAGAGGATTCAATAACCAGAAGCGATGGTAGATCTTCAGGAAGCAATTCCCCAGATGGCGACGCTCCTACAGAAGCTAGCGGAACCAGCTCAAACCGTTCGTAGCCCGGAGCAAACACTCGAGGCCTTGGCAACGAATATCAGTGAGTTTTCGGAGCTAAAGTCAACCGTGCTTGCGTGGATTTCGATTGCAAGAACGTAAAGATTGATCGATTCGAATGCTTGGTGTTCGTCTGCGGTCTCAAAAGCCATTGTTACGCGAACATACGAGCCAGGCTGCTCTCCCGGATCGAAGCTGTCCCGTTACTCTGCAAAATCTGATCGACGACTATCAACGGCTCGTTAATCTCAAGTCGGACATATCCATGATCGAGCGTCATACTTACCATACCAATCAGGCTAAAGTCTTGTTGTCCTCTGCTGTCCGAAGAAGTCGTCTCCACTCTACTCGATCCATGGCCACACTTCGCCAGCCTCGTAGTCGCGAAGGGTCCGCAGGTCGCCTTCTACTTGGTCGATCCACCTTGCCCGCTGTGCGCCTCTTCTTCTTGTTCCTGTTGGGTCGCTTTCTAGAACCATTTCCACTGAGCCGTCGTGCGGCAATCCTACGACGTGCCCAACCCACCGTAGTCGCCCAATTTTTGCAATGTGGACGATGGATGGTTCTCCCAGCAGTTGGTGCAATTCGTGGTTCATTCGCCTCCTCCACGTTCCGTCATCTATCTGCACTCCACCGTAGATGGTACGCAACACCTTCCGTTCGAAAACATCTCCACGAGCATAGTCCAGGTCTCGTGGCCGTAGAGGACCACCGGTCTAATCAGCGTCTTGTAGACAGTCAACTTCGTGCGGCGGCGAATTTTATTCGACCGGAGCGTCCTCCGGAGTCCAAAGTAGGCACGATTCCCTGCCATAATGCGTCTTTGAATGTCTCTGCTGGTATCATTTTCGGCGGTCACCAGTGAGCCCAAATACACGAACTCATCGAACATCTCGATTTCGTCACCGTCAATCTGAACTCGGGGTGGGAGGCTAACATCTTCCCTAGAATCTCTTCGTTTCATGTATTTTGTATTTGATGCGTTGATGGCAAGTCCAATCCGCCTAGCTTCAGCCTTCAGTCTGATGTACGTTCCCACCATCGTCTCTAAGTTCCGTGCTATGATGTCGATGTCATCGGCGAAGCCAAGAAGCTGGATGGACTTCCTGAAAATCGTGCCACTCGTGTCTATCCCAGCTCTTCTGATCACTCCTTCTAACGCGATGTTGAATAGCATGTTTAAAGAATTGCCGTAGCCCCCTTCGAGATTCAAAGGGACTCGAGAGTGTCCCCGATACTCGAACAACGCACATCACTCGATCCATCGTCGCCTTGACCAATCGAGTCAGTTTATCCGGAAATCCGTACTCGTGCATAATCTGCCATAGCTGATCTCGATCGATTGTGTCGTAAGCGGATTTGAAATCGATGAACAAATGATGTGTTGTACACGTTGTATTCGCGGCATTTCTGCAGAACCTGCCGAATCGCGAAAATTTGGTCCGTGGTAGCGCGGGCACCCATGAATCCCGCCTGGTATTGCCCCACGAACTATCTTGCAAATGGTGACAGGCCAATCCATCAATCCAACTTGTCGCCCTTTTTGTAGATTGGGCATACGATGTATTCCATCGACTCCTCCGATAATATCTCCTCCTCCCAAATCTTGGTAATTAGTCAGTGCAGCGCTCTAGCCAGTGCTTCACCACCGTATTTTAATAGCTCACTTGGTTGCTGATCTACACCAGTTGCTTTGTTGTTCTTCAGCCGACCGATCTCCTCCTGAACTTCTTGAAGATCAGGGGCCGGTAGCCTGTCGTCTTCTGCGCGTGCTCCAAGGTCTGTTGCCGTGCCACCTTCGTTTTCAGCTGCATCACCGTTGAGGTGCTCGTCATAGTACTGCTTCCACCTCAATCACCTCACACTCGTTCGTGAGAAGGTTACCGTCCAAGTCCTTGCACATATCGGCTTGCGGCACGTAGCCTTTGCGCTAACTATTTAGCTTTTCGTAGAACTTCCGTGTGTCGAATACGCGGTACAGATTTTCCATCGCCTCGCGATCTCGGTCTTCCTGCTGACGCTTCTTCCTTCAGAAAACCGAGTTTTGTCTGTTCCGCGCTTGTCTGTATCGCTCCACATTCAATCTCGTGCGGTGTTGCAGCATTCTGACGCTTTCAACCAAAAGCGCGGCGAGCGAATTCTTGGCAGTGGGAACCAGCAACCGTAATCGAGAAGATAGGAGCCGTCAACTACAATGTGTTGCTTAAAAATTAACATCGTCTGTCTGAAACGAAGCAGCCCTAACAGTTCATCCGACACCGCTTTCGATATTCTTCGGGCTAACAACTCCAATAGTGGTTCCAACATACGATATACACCTCAAGAGGATCCTACAATTCCGCATGAAGGCTGCAGATTGAAGACCCATTTCCGAACAATCCAGATGATTCTAACCTGACGAATGACTTGTCGGAAAATGAAGGTACCAATAATGAGGAATCCGAAGGTGAACAGGAACCAATGACAACTGGAGTAGAAGAATCCGTCCTAACGGCAACATTTCCCCCCTATGTTGGATCCCAGCAATCCGATCAGAGTAAGCTTTGAATTAAATATTTGTCACCTGACGATTCATTCCTAATTAGACTTCCAATAAAGGTGTTACATTGTATTCCGGAAGTACCAGGACATAACAATTAAAACAACCATTTCTATTACTACTGCATGTCATTTCAAGCTTATGTCTTATAGCATATTAGCTTCTGCCTGCTCTCAACTTTAACAACTCCATACTTTAATTGAGAGCTGTCTATTCGCGTGCCATCCCTATGGCCAAGGTAGTCAAGAAATTTTCCAATCCGAAAAATTAATAGACCCGGACGGGAATTGAACCCAGCCGCCCATCCCCTACCTGTTCATTTTGTTGGTTTGCGTTGGCGGATTTCGGTTCACGACAAAATGGTTTGTTTAAAAAGTGGAATTAAGTCATCACAATTCGGAAGCGCTTTTCGCAATATAATGATTTTGGAATTCCGCCCTTTTCAAATGTAGGTCTAGATATGTTGGCTCTTGCGATCTTAAATTTTGCAATTCCTTGATCCACTTTTCCCACAAAAAAATCCTCAACAACGGGTGCCGCGCTCAAGAGACTCCGGTAGCATCATCACGACGGTCGCCCTGCTGCAATCACTCCATCGTCGACTGACTGACTCGGGTAAACTACCAAAATCTCACGCACACACCAAGAACCCACCAAACAAACAAAAGGAAACGACGTCGAACCTGTGCTGGCGGCGGCCTGAAGAAGAGATATTTTGCGATGAGACACAACACAAACACAAACACGCAGCCAGACACCAATCAGTACCACAGTCATCGCCATCCTCAACACACAGCAGCAGTAGCAGCAACCAGGCAACAAGCAGCGGCGACGATGATGACGATGATTGGAAAACAGCGATCCGCTACGTTTGTTTGAGAGAGGCCCGCCGTCTCTTTTCTTCCTCGACTCGATATCGTTATCCCTTTTTATCGCAGAAGAAATTTTCCGCTGACTCCAAAATCGACGGCTCATCATCATTACTTTTATCATCGCTTGTCCGAACGATCGCCGTCACCATCAGCCGCCACCACCACCTGTGTATGACGTCGATTGGATCCATTGGAACAACCAGCGGAATCCGAAATCTCGGAATTTCTGCACAGCAAAATTCCTTTGCCTATTTCTTGGAATTTTAAAAAACCATAAAACATGCGCTTCCATTCGCTGCCATGAAAATAAAGAAGACAAAATTCGACTACACACCGTTTTAATCCAGTTCGAGAGCTGCGACTTGAGGTTGAAATTCCTGGACCAGTTTCGGCTCCGGTCGTCGTCAGGTTGTAAATCCCCGTCCGAGCGCGTTTTCCAGTTACTTCTTGTTCCACTCACGCTCACTGGACACAGGCACGCACTTTTCACTTTTCGCTATCTTCTTTCCACCCAGAGAAATCGCTTCCTCTACCTTGCAGAAATTATTCACGTTGCACTTTTCACACTCCTGCTGCTTGGGCACTGATTTTCTTTTTTCTCGACAATCAAAAAAACCGAAATAACCAAAAAGGAATCACTTTCCAGCGCGAGGGCAACGTGGAACCGAAATCTGTGGCACTCCGTCGTCGTCCGTCGTCTCCACACGGTCAGGTCACAGACGTTCGTTCGTACGTCCGCCCGTCAGAGCCGAATCGAAAACCGAAATTGGGAAGATTGGAGGATGGGTAGATTAACGGAAACCGCACCGCGGAACGCAAATTCCAACACACTCGCGTCGTTCGCCAAACTTCCCGTGGGGAACTTACTGAACTTGGAAAATCGGGGGTCTCCTTCCGGAACAATAATCAAAATCACGCACCCAAAAATCGTCGTCGTCGTCGACCAGCCAAAAGCAACACAATAAAAACGCACCGAATAACCGAACGAACGGAGGAGAAAGAATATCCGCATTCAATCAAGTGACACCTCACTAAAGACTGCACCAACACTACTGAGCGCCGCAGTACCCGCCGTAGCAATTTCTGATTCAAAGAAGTGATGATGATGGTGATGATGGTTTTCGATGTCGGTCTTTGTCCAGCACATGGAATGCATATTGGAAAGCCGCCAGCCACCATCGTGCAGTCACATACGGTTGTCTCACTCGGGCGCAAGCGAGAACCGTCGTGTATGACCCGGTGCAAAAAATGTGGAACCCGTTGAATTGATGGCGGAAAATGTCAGCGCCCATCAGACAATCTCCGTCAGATTTATGACGAATTTTAACGAAAATACGAGGGGTCTCGCGCAATACCATCCATCTAAATTCTGAAATCAACTTCCAGCCTCGCTTCCAGCAAAACGGTTAGCTGAAAATGGTTTAGCAAAATTATATTTACTGAAAATACAGTGCATTTATGAAAACCCAGTAATTGGTTAGATGGAAAACAGTAAAAATTGGGTTCTTTAAGGGTATTGAGGTAAATGCATATTCGTAATCTGCATTAAAAATGGAACCCAAACCCTAAATTTCATCAATTTTGGTACACTGGAACTATTTTAAATAATCTTGATTTAAAAATCGAGATGAAAGTGTGTGGGCGTATGTTGTTCCATTTTCTTCTGTTCCTGGGAAAGGGAAAGGGAAGGGGTTGAAATTCGAACATCCAGATAGTGTCAAAAAGCACAGTGAAGGATACATTTATTCATACAAACAGGCCGCCATTACCGAGCATGGAAAGCTGAATAGGTAAAATTGATTAATAGTAGATTTTTAGCGTTGGACCGAAGACAACAAACCAAGAAGACTGGCAACTCTTCCATTTTCTCATACGAACGCTATGAGACAGGTACAATCGCGTCATCTACCGCTCAAAGGTAAATCCTTCGAATGAATTTGATAGCAAAGATTACATCCTCAGACGAAGGGTTTGTGTATTTGCTCATTTTTCTATGCGTTGCTTCCACCTTCACTCAAGCGCAGCGGTACCAACAATCAATACGAAACTATCAATTTTTTTTAAAACTTTATTAGAGAGATTTTTAGTCGTTGGCTAGTTCATCTCTATAAAATGGGAGGCCCCAGAGGGGGGTTCTGCCAGCAAATTTTGTTACGGAGTTGGCTTACAATTCACATGTACTCAAATAGAAGCAATTAAAACAGATTCCAGTAAAAAGACTAACAATACAGGCAACGAGAAAAAAAAACAATCTGGTACATCAAAGTTAGGTAGGGTTTTGAAAGAGATCGGAGCTCCACCGTAGGAGGGGTAATCCCCCGTCCGGCAGAGATGTACCGTCAGCCAAAAGAAAGTTAAAAGGACCTAAATGTTGTTGTACAACCCAGCGTCCTTGAGGAAATAAATAACTTTCGTTAAAATGGAAGGTTCGTCGCCCAGTATGTCCCTAATGCTGTTGGGAAGTGCGTACTGCTCCCGTAGATATTGATATTGCGGACACAGGCATAGAATGTGTTCCACCGATGCTGTGGTTCCGCAAACGTAGCACATTCTGTGGAACTGCGTCCCACCAAAACTATGTGAGATCCTTGTATGACCTGTCCTAAGACGAGAAACCACCTTCTGGTCCCGTAGTTTCGACATATCCGTCCACTTGCTCGTCGTTCCTTTGATTCTTCGGATGAAGAGGGATTGGGATTGGCACCACTCTACTTCCCACATTTTGCTGACAATCCATCGCTTTATGTCCTGTAGTGGCACTTCGTCGGTGTAACGGGGGCTAGCTGGTCCAGACCCTGCTAGGCTATCGGCTTCGCTGTTTCCTGGGATACCGCAGTGCCCAGGGATCCAGGAAAACACCGTGTTCGGAGGTGTGGCCTCCACAATATCCTGTATCCAGGGGTGAGTCATGGTCTCCGATGTAAGGGCTTGTATCACACTATACGAATCGGATAGCACCAGTATGGGCCGGTCAGAGGGTGTTGTAACGGCAACAAAGATGGCCGCAGCTTCGGCGGAGAAAACCGAGCATTGTGGCGGTAGGCTGCTACTCATCGGTGCTGAAATTCCGGCTACTCCAATTCCAACACCGGCTTGGGAAAGCGATCCGTCTGTGTATATGTGGGCATGGGTTGGGTAGTCCGAGCCTAGCAGTTCGGATATTGTTCTCTTCAGCGCTGCAGAGTTATCTCCAGCCTTGAACCTACTTTTTATCCGACTCTCGATTTTTGGTGGAAGTATGCGCCAACTTTTGTCTCCGTACCAGTGGACCTTGGCCACTGGGGGGGAGCTCCGCATTGGCAGTCACGCGGAGGAGTCTGTTCCCCTCATCGAGGAGAAAGATCCTGTAATTTCCGGAGGTCATTGCGGTAAAGGCAGCGGCTTTCGTTGCAATTGCAGCGGTTATACGATGGCGGAAGGGCAGAATACCCGCTTCGATGCATGCGGCATCGGCGGGCGTTGACGGAAGAAGACCGGAGACAATCCGAACGTAGGTGTTAAAAGTTGGTGCTAGTATCTGCACGAGCTTTTCGGTGGCGATGCACGTCATCTCAAGACCGTACAGTAGGCGACTATCGATGATGGCTCTTGCAACCCGGAAACGAGTGTCGCGATTGATAGACCGGTGGGGGCGAGAGATAGTGCGGATCAAGTTGATCCTACTGCGGCACTCGTTCTTGATCGCCTTAAAGTGCTGCTCGAAATTGAGGGACCGGTCAACAAGTACCCCCAGAATACGGACCGTCTTCTTCAGTGGTGTGGGCTGGCTTTCAACTTTAATAGGTGGCCCGTTGATACGGTGCCGGGATGGACACACGTGGCATCTGACGCTTTTGGTGGCCGAAAGCTGGAAACCTACCGCGCTGGCCCACCTGGCTACAGCGGAGACTGCTGCCTGGGCCTTGATCCTGTTGCGTGCTACTGTTGGGCCGGTAGTTACGATAAGTACATCGTCTGCATACACGAAAATGTAAACATTTTTCGGCAGTCCTCCGAAAGCTCCGTTCATGGCCACAAGGAAGAGGGTAACGGCAATAACTGAACCTTGTGGGACGCCCGTCTCTTCTCTGAAAAGCTGGGACCTCGTGTTGCCCACTGCGACTCTGAAAGAGCGATCGGTCAGGAAATTTTTGATGAAGTGGACAATGGGTCCACACAGCCCCCAGTTGACAAGCTGCTCTAAGACGAGGGGCGTCCACGTCCTGTTGAAGACCTTCGATATATCCAACGAGACGTTGGCACTCTTGAGGACCTCCCCTAATGTTGCAAAATAAGTTGACGTTCCGTACCCTTGACGGAAGGCGTGCTGTCGATGGTCTAGAAGGTTTTCGGCTTCAAGGAAATGCTTTAGCCTCCTGTTGACCATTCGCTCCAGGACCTTGGCCATACAGCATGTCTAGGCTATTGGTCGGAACTTGCTAGCTTAACGGGTTGTTTCATTGGCTTTTGGGATGGGAAATGACTAAGCTCTCTTTCCACGACGCTGGATACGAGTTGGTGAGCCAGAGCTTGTTGAAAAGCTCCAGCATCCGTAGCTGGCCTGGCGTTGTTAACCTCTTGAGTAGAGGGTACCCGATTTCGTCGGGACCCGCCGACTTTCCGTTGCTGCAGCGGAGGGCATGCTGCAATTCCTGCCAGCAGAATGCCTGGTTGATGTCCGAGTTTCCAGCGTCAGAAGAAACAGAAAAACTTGCAATGGATGACGTCGAAGGCTTAGCTTTCCGCTTGAATTCGTCTTCGTACTTCTCGATGGCTGCGAGATCGGCAAAGTACGAGCCGAGTTCGTCCGCTACAATTGCAGGGTCAGAAACAGCTTCACCGTTAATCTGTACGTAGAGCGGTGTCATGCGCCGTTTCCCACTGAAGGCGTTGACTTGCCTCCATAAGTCAGCCGAAGACTGTGACGAATTCATTCCTTCCAGAAAGTCCATCCAGCTGGTTCGCTTGGCGACACGGATTTCTTGCCGCCATTGATTGTGCGACTCATGGTAGTGACGGAGAGCGTCCTCGCGGTCGGGATGTCCGATAGGAAGGCGCTTTACACGGCGAAGTGCTTTACGCCGGGCTTTAACGGCTTTCCTCGTATCTTCATTCCACCAGCGTAGCGCTTTTCGCCCCGGAACGCTGCTGGTCTTTGGGATGGTTGCTGTTCCTGCTTCGTATACCACTTCTGAAAAGTCTTCAATGTTGTTCGGCTTCACCATAGCTATCCCAGTCCGCTTGTTCATAGCGCCATCGGGGCCTCCATGTTGTCATCGGGGGAAGATGACGGTCGAAAGATGAACTTTGATGGGGTAGTGGTCACTACCATAGAGATCCGTGCTCGCGCTCCACTGAGTTTTTCCGGCAAAGCAGCGGCTGACAGCAGAGACGTCTATGGCAGAAGTATGCCGCCCGTTAAAGTACGTGGGCATACCGTCATTCAGGATCACCATGTCTTCCTTCTCGAAAATATCGACCAGGGTAACACCTCGAGGGTCGGAGCGGGGGCAGCCCCAGCTTGTGTGGTGCCCGTTCAGATCCCCAGGCAGGTATGCACATGCGACGGAGATGTTCGCCGGTGCCGCCAGCTGGACACCAAGTATGGGAAGCTCGGAGTCCATATCGACAACCTGGAAAGGTATCGTCTTCAAAACCGCGATGGCCACGGAGTGCCGGAAGTTGTTTCCCCGTTTTGCTGCCCACGTATACTTACCGCCTAGGGAGCGGTTCATTTGGTCTGTTGTCGCTTTGTTAGTTTCCTGGAGCGCGATGACCCAGGGGGGATCTTCGTGGCAAAGAAGCTCTAGATTACCAATGTGGTTCAAGAACCCGTTAATGTTCCACTGCAGGATGAAGTTTACTGGCTTAGGCAACCCTAATAAAATTGTTATGGTTATTTTTCTTAACGACGTGTTCTGGGTATCTTCCAAACCATTAGTGGAAAAGTTCAATTATTTGGGTTATCGTTCGTTTATGGTTATTTTTTATTAGGGAAGGCAGGAGTGGGGTACGAGCGCGCTGTGCTGTGGAGCTAGTGTCATCGCGACGGTGACTGCCACTCTGGTTGACGGGTAGATCTATATCGTAGGTGTCCGATCCATCGTGATGGTTGGAGCCAGCTGACAGATTGATGTTGTATCATAGAGGTAACTCTAAGACCACTGGGTCCCGAAGAAAATCATTATTATTTTTGGCTCACTCAGTACCAGAACAACGGTCCCAAGCAGTCCCAAGCTATTTCACTCACCCCTGCATGTTCTGCATGAATCCACACACCCCTGATGTTATCTGTCAAACTTTCCTAGCGAATCAAAACAAACATAGTGTAGTAATAGAATTTCAACTAGAATAGGGTACGTTAATCGTTTGCTTGGGACCAATAGGCTACTAAAGTGGTGAGCCAATTTAAAATCGTTAGTTTCGTATTGATTGTTGGTTGTATGCTGAATGAGACAGGGCCCCACCAAGGGCAGGTGTAGAAGTTCCACCCACCCAGGGCAGGGATGACCCAACAGAGAGAGAAGAGGTATTACATGTTGGCGTACTGGGTTTGGCCAACAATCAATACGAAACTAACGGTTTTAAATTGGCTCACTACTTGACTAGCCTATTGGTCCCAAGCAAACGATTAACGTACTCCATTCTAGTCGAAATTCTAGTACTACGCAATGTTTGTTTTGATTCGCTATGAAAGTTTGACAGATAAAATGAGGGGTTATTGGTTTTTCGAGGGGTGAATCGATTAGCTTGAGACCGAAGAGAGTACCAGAGCTGAGCCAAAAAGTTGAGCACGTTATTTCGGGACCTTCTAGTCTTAGAGTTACCTCTATGGTTTGGCAGCTTCGGTCGTTGTTATAGCAGCGTGTTCGAGTCCGAAAATTTAGTATCAGATATAGTATATCACTTCGTTAGTAGTTTAACTCTTTATTTCAAGTTTTATTATGTTTTGAATTTATGTTTTATTCTTTCAAACTTGCTCTAATATTGGCCTATGGATCTAATACCCCTTTCACATTACAGCCTATATCACGTAATATAGGCTGTCTTGCAATGAGCACTCATACATAGGATTTCCAGTGTAAACTAGATGTATGAGTGCTCATTGCAAGACAGCGTATATCACGTGATATACGCTGTAATGTGAACGGGGTATAAGATTGGGCCCAACCGAAGACAACAAATCAAGAAGACTGGCAACTTTGCCAGAATCCAAGCGACAGATATAGAAGCGCCGTAGGTACTCTCTTCGGTCCCAAGCTAATCGATGCACCCCTCGAAACATAGGAAAATCCACGAACCGCTCATTTTATCTGTCAAACTTTCATAGCGAATCAAAACAAAAATAGTGTAGTAGTAGAATTTCGACTAGAATGGGGTACGTTAATCGTTTGCTTGGGACCAATAGGCTAGTCAAGTAGTGAGCCAATTTAAAATCGTTAGTTTCGGCTCTGAACCATTTGGTGGATTATTTTAACTTTTGGTTAAAATTTGACAAATGGAAAGTTATCGATTAACCCTGCTATCCGAGCGTGGTTATTTCTGACAGACAAGAAGTTAAATGTTGACAACCGTGGCTGAGTTCTTCTCGAAAACTTGAAAACCACACTGCCATACGACTAACGTACCCCATTCTAGTAGAAATTCCAGTACTACACTATGTTTGTTTTGATTCGCTATGAAAGTTTGACAGATAAAATGAGGGGTTAGTGGATTTTCTTATGTTTCGAGGGGTGAATTGATAAGCTTGGGACCGAAGAGAGTACCAGCATAGAGGTAACTCTAAGACTAGAAGGTCCCGAAATAACGAGCTAAACTTTTTGGCTCAGCTCTGGTACTCTCTTCGGTCCCAAGCTAATCGATTCACCCCTCAAAACATAGGAAAATCCACTAACCCCTCATTTTATCTGTCAAACTTTCATAGCGAATCAAAACAAACATTGCGTAGTACTAGAATTTCGACTAGAATGGGGTACGTTAATCGATTTGCTTTGCAAGTAGTGAGCCAATTTTAAATCGTTAGTTTCGTATTGATTGTTGGTACCAGAGCTGAGCCAAAAAGTTGAGCAAGTTTCTTCGAAACTCTGTCTGCTATAACCTTAAGGCAGGGGCTGTCATCATTGTGCAAATAGCAAAACTCCACAAACGACTCATTTCAAGCTGTCCAATGATTTTTGTTTTAGCTTCTCTTCTCTATTTTGTTTTATTATTAGGTATATGTTGTTGCCTGCAGTTTCTGTCGATTATAATCCTTCATGCCTCTATTTCTCTTCCCGCAGTTTCCAGCGCAATTTTTCTGGTCTGGTTTTTAAAATCACAATGAAACCCAGCAACGTGGTCGTGGAAACGCTTAAACATTCTCTGCACTTCTTTTTTTTTCCCTTTCTGCTTCTTTTTCGCGATCCTGAAGTTTAAGCCATAGTATTGCAACGATGACGACGTGTGAGAGGTTTTCTGCTTTTCACTGCAATTTGTATTTGTTGTGTGTGTGTGTGTGTTTCAAACTTTGCTTACTTTATTCTATCACTGCGCGGCGCGGGTTAATGCGATAAAAAAATATAATATTCTTGCAAAAAAAAATCAAAAGGGGATGGAAATGATATCTTGTGGTTGTTTTTTTTTATTGATGAATAAATTTAAAATAACTTTGGAAAAGGTATTCTCTTTTAGCGTCCACATTTATTCGTTTTTTTTTCTTCAATTTTACCTAAGAAAGGAACAAAAACACTTTTTTTGATTACACGTGCAATTATAAAAATTAAACTAAAAACAGAAGAAAATCACTCGTTTCCCGAAACCCAACCGTAAATATATACGAACCGAAAGAATGGAACAAAATGGAAAGTAAAACTTGTTTCGCTGCACCTTCTTCTATTTTGCTATTCGCGCGAAGATTTTATATTTTAGTTTGCAACGTTTGAAGTGATCTTGTTATAGCCCATATGGATTATGCGTGCGTGCGGTGGATGTTTTAGTTCTTCTTTTTTCTTCTTCTATTAACCTTGGTTGGTTGTTTTATTTTCAGTTTTTAAAATAAGCAATAATTTAATAAATAGCGTGTGTTGTTATTGTTGCTGTTTACTGTTTAGCGTCCTAGCACAAATATTAGCAAAGGTTCATCCCTAGTTTTGTTTGTTTTGTTTTGTTTTACCTTGAAGCGATTGGATAAGATTGAACATTGTCCATTTGTTACTTGTTTATGCTGGTTTCGGTCGATAATATAAGAGTTTGTTTACATTTAAATCCACTAAACTGCTCATGCTGCGTCAATTTGTTTACTTCAATATATAACTATCTCTGTTCCTCAAATTACTGCAAATAATTTAAAGACACCATGTATCGTGTTTGCGTGTGGAACTCTTCTAGGTCCACACGGAGCTATAGAATTTCGTTTTCAGTTGATAATGCACGCAAAATACTTTCCAATCGCCCTGCTTCCGCAGCTGTTTGTTTTTCTTCTTCTTCTTTTAAGCCAAACCATTGCGGATTGCGGTTGTTCCTAAATTGGTTTTATTCATAATTTTGTTGGTGCTTAACATCTACGACAAAAAATAGTTTATCAGTAAATTCCTAATAAATTTTGTTGCCTCTCTAGCGGTAAAATTTTTCTTGCACAATTTTGCTTTGCCCACCTCCACCGGCTCTCCACACACACACACACATGCGGGTGTAGTGTGTGGGTGTGTGAGGGGTGTTTGGTAGTAAGTATGTGTGTGTGTGTGTGTGTACGCGTCTCTGTCACTAGCTGTAGTAGTAGTTGTTGTTGCTGTAGTAGTAGTTACATATCCATATGTAGATATTATATTAATAATGGATCATTGAAGATGCTGAGGTTTTGACAGCACCGTACTGTGGCTACCACAGTATTTTACATTGGTTCGTCCGTATACAGTAGCGCCAAATGAAAGCTGTGGTGGGTTCAAAACTCAGCCATCTAAAATGATCCATTGCAGCGTGGAAAATTTAGTGCTTAAACGGTAGCAGTTGATTTCTCTTTGAGAGTTGCGTTTGCTAAGCCGCGCATGCAGATGTTGCGCTTAGTCGATTCAACTGTCGGATTCTGGAAAGGAAAAGATTGGTTTATGGAAATGAGATACGATTTGACAATTGCGGAATGCAACCAAGGTCGTTAGAGGTGGGAATGTCTACAGTTGGTTTTGGCCATTTTCAGTTTAGTGTGTTTGTTTTGTTTGGATTGGTCTTAGCGTTTGATGAGCTTACTCATAGCCAACAGCCCATAGAAATAGCACATTCTCGCGCGCGCCATCGGCTAGACCAGTCGATTTTGGTTATCGTTACGAATTTGTTTTCAGTGAAAGTGGAAGTTTATTTCAATATTTATATTTGAAAATAGCTAAAAACTACGGAAATTAGTCTATCAATCACCGAAAAATATAAATACTGAACAAATAACTTTGAATTATTATTATTATTTTGTATCTTTATTAGGGAGGCTTTCAGCCTTGGGCTGGTTCGCCTCCACTAAATAACTTTGAAATTGAGTTACAGCGAAAAAGTCGCTCACTTGGTATCGGCCATTTTGTTATGAGGAAGAAGAACAAACATCATGGACGTGGATGATCTACAAGAACCTAAACCCCCAACGCCCCCACCCGGAATTCGGACAACACCTGGACCATCGAAAACTACGGAACAAGGATCTACACTGACAGAACCCAACCCGCCAAAAGGAAAGGAAAACCCCAAGCAGGACTACTACTACACTGACAAAGATGGCGGATCCTTCCGCGTCTATGTGGACCTCACCGATGCAGATCAACAAAAAAGCATCAATAAGATATCAGTTGGAAGAATGCTACGAAGAATATTCGGAACCTCCTCTCACGTCACGGAAATCAAAAACGCAGGAAAAAGGAAGGTATTAGTATATCTCAATAACTTCACAGCGGCGAACAGACTTGTACTAAACAGCGTAGTGGATACGGATTTAAAGCTTATGTAGCCAAGCACTTGATATCAGTAACTGGAGTTATCTCCGGGATCCCGACTGATATGACGACCGAAGAAATCATACAAGACATACACAGCTTGGTGCCGATTACGGACGTTTATCGCTTCCAACGCTTTGTTAACAACGCAAAAAATCCCTCAACTCGCGTCAGTGTCACGTTCCGGTCGAATAAGTTACCAGAGCTCGTAAAACTATACAGCTGCTCCATCAAGGTGGAACTATTCTACAGAAAAGTTTTTCTTTGTCTAAACTGCCTGCGCTACAACCACAAAACAGCAAACTGCCGAAGTGCCTCGTTGTTGCCTGTACTGCAAAAAAGAACACAGTACCACCATAGAGGTAACTCTAAGACCACTGGGTCCCGAAAAAAATCATTATTATTTTTGGCTCACTCAGTACCAGAACAACGGTCCCAAGCAGTCCCAAGCTATTTCACTCACCCCTGCATGTTCTGCATGAATCCACACACCCCTGATGTTATCTGTCAAACTTTCATAGCGAATCAAAACAAACATAGTGTAGTAATAGAATTTCAACTAGAATAGGGTACGTTAATCGTTTGCTTGGGACCAATAGGCTACTAAAGTGGTGAGCCAATTTAAAATCGTTAGTTTCGTATTTTTTTTTTTTTTTTTTTTTTTTTTTTTTTTTTTTTTTTTTAACTCTTTATTTGTTCTAAATTCAAAATAAATTACATTTCATTTTAACCTAGGTGCTCCAGTTACTGCAGTAACGTACCAGCCTTAATTGTTATGATATATATCTAAGTGTTTTTACATTGTTCATGTCTTGGCAATTCAGTATTTTAAACAGGTTTTTAACCTGCATGTCAGTATAACAATTGATATCTTAAAACTAAAAACTAAAACTAAATCTTATCTAAGTATAAAGGGAATTAATCGCTGCAATTGAGGATTGCAACGATTTTTGCCTGAAATTATTAATTATTTTGTTGGACATTTGTGCTAAAGTCTCAACATTCGAAATTCTATGTACTTCGGTTGTACTGTACCAGGGAGGCAACTTCAAAATCATTTTCAGAATTTTGTTCTGAATCCTTTGAAGTGCTTTTTTCCTGGTAGTGCAGCAACTAGACCATATTGGCACAGCGTAAAGCATGGCCGGTCTAAAAACTTGTTTAAATATTAGAAGTTTATTCGTCAGGCAAAGTTTGGATTTCCTGTTTATAAGAGGATACAAACATTTTATATATTTGTTACATTTGGCTTGAATGCCCTCAATGTGATCTTTAAAAGTTAATTTTTGGTCAAGTATTAATCCAAGATATTTCACTTGGTTTGACCAGGAAATTGGAACTCCGTTCATAGTGACTATGTGACTACTACTAGGTTTCAAAAACGAAGCTCTAGGCTTATGTGGAAATATTATAAGTTGAGTTTTGGAAGCGTTGGGAGAAATCTTCCATTTTTGTAAATAAGAAGAGAAAATATCTAAACTTTTCTGCAGTCTGCTGCAAATAACACGAAGACTTCTTCCTTTAGCGGAAATGCCTGTGTCATCAGCGAACAAAGATTTGTGGCAACCCTGAGGCAAATCAGGGAGGTCCGAAGTGAAAATGTTATACAATATAGGCCCAAGAATGCTACCCTGAGGAACTCCTGCCCTAACAGGTAGTCGATTAGATTTGGAATTTTGATAATTTACTTGAAGAGTTCTGTCAGTTAAATAATTTTGAACTAATTTCATAATATAAAGTGGAAAATTAAACTTTTTCAATTTAGCAATCAAACCTTCATGCCAAACACTGTCGAATGCTTTTTCTATGTCTAGAAGAGCAACGCCAGTTGAGTGGCCTTCAGATTTGTTTGAACGAATTAAATTGGTAACTCTCAAGAGTTGATGAGTAGTTGAATGCCCATGGCGAAATCCAAACTGCTCATCTGCAAAAATTGAGTTCGTATTGATGTGAAGCATCATTCTATTCAAAATTATCTTTTCAAAAAGTTTACTTATTGAAGAAAGCAAACTTATTGGACGGTAGCTAGAAGCTTCAGCTGGATTTTTATCCGGCTTCAAAATTGGAACAACTTTTGCATTTTTCCATTTATCAGGAAAGTATGCCAAATGGAAACATCTGTTAAATAATTTTACCAAGAAAGACAAGGTACTCTCTGGGAGTTTTTTGATGAGGATATAGAAAATTCCATCATCACCTGGAGCTTTCATATTTTGAAATTTTTTAGTTATAGACCTTACTTCGTCCAAATCAGTCCCCCAGGAATCATCAAACATATTTTCCCGAGAGAAAATATTCCGAAAATCCCGAGCAACCTGATTCTCAATAGGACTAGTAAGACCCAAAGTGAAATTATGGGAACTCTCGAATTGCTTAGCAAGTTTCTGAGCTTTTTCCAAATTTGTGATCAAAATTTTACCACCTTCTTTAAGCGCTGGAATTGGCTTTTGAGGTTTTTTCAAAATTTTTGTGAGTTTCCAAAAGGGTTTGGAACTCGGGTCTAATTTAGAAATATTATTTTCAAAAGTTTTGTTCCTCAGGGCAGAGAATCGCTTTTTAATTTGTTTTTGCAAATCTCGCCAGATAACTTTCATGGCAGGATCGCGTGTTCTTTGATATTGTCTCCTACGGACATTTTTAAGACGGATCAAGAGCTGAAGATCATCGTCTATTATAATTGAATCGAATTTAACCTCGCATTTTGGTACTGAGTCAGCTCTTGCTTCAACTATAGAAGTAGTCAGAGACTCAAGAGCATAATTAATTTCATCTTTGGTTTGCAAAGGAATGTTTGGATCGAAGTTATATTCCATAAATGTTCGATACTGCTCCCAATCAGCTCTATGGTAATTGAAAGTAGAGCTGTTGGGATTACAAATTATTTCTTGGGATATTTCAAAAGTTACTGGAAGGTGATCAGAACCGAAGTCAGCATGGGTAACCAGTTGGCTACAAAGTTGACATGAATCAGTTAAGACCAAATCAATAGTGGAGGGATTTCTTGCAGAAGAAAAGCATGTTGGGCTGTATGGATATTGAATAGTGTAATAACCTGCAGAACAATCATCAAACAGAATATTACCATTGGAATTGCTTTGAGCATTATTCCATGAGCGGTGTTTTGCATTAAAATCACCAATAATGAAGAATTTAGACCTAGGTAAGTTTCTGGAGGTCACCCTTGAGGAAATTCTTTTGCTGGCCTACGCATTGGAATGGCAAATAGGCAGCTATAAACGTAAGTTGTCCAAATTTTGTTTCAACAGAAACTCCCAAAGTTTCAAAAACTTTGGTTTCAAATGAAGAAAGAATTTTATGTTTGATTCGTCTATGAATAATGATGGCAACGCCACCACAGGGTCCATCAAGACGATCATTTCTATAAATCAAGTAATTTGCGTCCTTCTTAACCTTATGGGCAGGTTTAAGGAACGTTTCAGTTATAACGGCAATATGCACGTTATGAACTCGCAAAAAGTTAAATAGCTCGTCTTCATTATCTTTAAGAGATCGAGCATTCCAATTTACAATATTTAATGCTTTAAAATCCATTACTGAATTTTAAAGTCATGACAATATTATTTGCAAATTTTACACCAGTTTGAATAGCATCAAACATGGAGTTAGATTTAAGCATATCAGAAATCATGTCAATTAATGAATTCTGTAAAAATTCCATTTTGGGGGCAGTAATGCTTCCTAAGTCAAAATTGTCAAAATTTCCGTTAGAACGTTGGTTAGTATTTTGATTTCTACCCGCTGCAATAGCAGCATAGGTAGCTCCATTAACTCGCTGAACATTGTTAGCAGCGAGGGGAGTAGGTACAGATGAAACATTTGAAGCAGGGGAGATATTTGTACCTACGGGTACGAATGTAGAATTTGTTCCTCGCTGACCGTTGTTAACAGCAGAGGAATTTGTACCTGGTCGGAAACGTGGAGCGTTTCCTACCTGACGGTTAGAACGAGATTGTAGGATCGCTTTGCGAGTCTTACATTCCCAAAAATTGGATTTGTGGTTTTCACCACAATTTGAACATTTAAATTTCTTAGGATCTTCCTTCACAGGACAGTCGTCCTTTGCGTGAGAGGAATCACCACAATTCATGCA